CAGTGGGGGCTGCGAGGGAGCAGGGCGGGCAGGGCATGGCCTCCCTGCCCGCCTTCCTGCCTGGCACTGGGCATGCTGCCTCGTAGTTCTGGTAGCCCCAAGAATCAAGCAGCTCAGGGGGCCGCTCGCTGGCTTTGCGAAGGGGATCTTGACTAGTGGGGAAACTGAGGCACAGATCAGGCCTGTGAGCTGGCAGTGACGACACAGCAGAGCGGGTTTGCTGCCCTCTCGAGCAGCGGAATGAAGCCTGGTGAAGGTCCCCGTTGGTTTAGGGAACGGGACGGGCTGGAGGAGGTGGCAAAATAACTTCTGGGAGGCTCTGAGCTGCCACAAGCCACTCTGCGTTCCCCCGCCTCTCCCTTGCCCGGCGCCTTGGCTGTCAAGAGGAACAGCCACGGGGTTGGGTTTGCAGCCGGCTGAACTGCAGGGCCTCCGTCATTACTAACATCTGCGCTGTACTTCCTGGTGGTTCCATATTTATATGAAAATTGGTCACCGAAATAATGGTAAAACTTCTTCAGTTGGTTTCAAAATAAGGAAGTTGGTGCATATTTTGAGAACAAAGCTGTCTTAATTCCCAGTTTTGACAAATGTACTGTTTTCTTAAGTTTAAAATGGTTGCTTTTAAATTAAACCGTCCGAATTTTCTTCAATTTAATTGCTTCAAAGCGATTTCATTAGTTCTAGCTATATCAGTTAATTGCTTCAACTTGATGTGTGAAATTATTCCCAGGAAACGGCCCTCGTCAGATGCCGGAGCGCTATCGCCGATTGCCAGCAGAGGGCAGGGAACGATCAATTTGCCTTGATGGACGCTACCAAGGGCTGATCTGTTGGTACAGACCTCTAATTTCACAGGTGACCTATTTCACCGGCGTAAACAATAGAAATTAGAGGCTATTTTATATTTCAGTATGACTGTGGCATTACACTAAGACCAGTGTAACAGCATCTCGATCAACGTACAGCTTCCAGTGGCAAGAGAAGCTCCCAGAGACCTCCTAGCCAGCTCCTGGGCTTAAAATGTTCAAGTTGAGAAACCGAGTAAGGCAGATGGGTAACTAAAATGTAGTCTACTGTTGTCTAGAAGGGTGGAGAAAAAGTCTGATTTTTTTTTAACATGGATCCTCTCCTAAGGATAAAGCAAGCACTGATTGCTTTCTGGTCATTACCAGAAGCTGAGTTGATGCTCCATTCAGACTCCCATTGGTGCATGTTTCTGCTCTGGAAGTAGCAGAGAGCAGCTCTTTGAACTAACGGGGAGGGGATGGGGGGGGGAAAGGGAGAAGGGAGTCCTGTAACAGGATGTGTTATTTTGGAAAAACTACTCAGACAACACAGGTTTAGGATTCTAAATATGTTCTTGAACTTTTATTCCTCGCAGCAGGTAAGCAGTCGATTAAAAACCTTAGTAGCAAAACCAGACCAAAAATGCAAGTCTCTCGGAAACAAACACGTGCACTTGCACGTCAGACCTACATGCAGAACTACGATTCGCATTTCAACAGTGAATACGCAAGTGACTAATGAGGAGTTTGGGTTGGCAGTGAAGGAACTCCTGCATGTGTAACCAGGGCAAGTGTGCAGCAAACACTGCGCGTCTGTTTAGGTGCAAGCTATTTTGAGCAAAAGGACTAGGGCATGTAGAAAAAGTGAGATGATGCTGCTGATTTTGAAACAGTGTAAGAAGACAAAATCATACTAACGGACAGCTTAATGAAAGCTGTTTGGCACTTCCCAAATGAGGCTGCTTCAGCAATGTGCAATATTAACCTTTCTGTACCTGGATTTGATTTTGTAGACACTTCTTCCTCATGTACACATCTAGTTCAGCAAGCGAATGATATGGAAAATGCTGCTTTTGCTTCCACTAGAACTTAAAAATTCCACTAGTGAATTCTGGAGTGTTAGGGACACTTCATGAGTTAGGCAAAACAAAAGCTGCTGTTTTCTAAGATTTGAAGCCAAAGTGCCAGCAAGGAGCAACTGCCAATTACAGAAACCCAACTGCAACTGGGTTTAGCCAAGGAAAAAAACACATTAAAACTAGAATTTCAAATGCAGTTCTGTACTGTGTCATACAATCCCTCACTCCCCCAAACCCTGCTATAATGGGTACTGTGGATTAGATACCTCATTAAAAAAAAAAAATTAACCACCCCCCCCAACCCCATAAAATAGGAATCAAGAATTTCTTAAATGACAAAACCACCAGTTTTCAGAGGTGCTTCCTCGTATGTGCAACATCGGCTTTTTGTCAATGTATGCCTCTTCTCCAGATTTATAATGTGCAAATCCCATAAATTATAGATTTATTCCAGTCAGATTCACTTACTAGTGCTGAAAAAAATTCACAGTATAAACTGTCAAGACTCTCCATGCTGTGAATGAATGAAAATATATATATATAAAGTGCAATTCATTCTGTTTTGCAGAGTCATACAATGGCTCTGTACTTCAGCATATGTTTACAGCAGATTTTGTAATAGGAAGAAGACCCCCACAACCCCTATTAATCAATGTCATCATTTCATGGCAGATGTCTCTGCTTTACAATAGGCTGCATGAGATTTGCTATGCTGTAAAATCTGAATGAAAGGTTCTTCATTCAGCCCAGTGTCTGACACTTACTGGTCTCCATCACTGACTATTAATATCAAGCATAGTAGATCTGCAATTTTATACCGAAACATGTAGCACAAGACATGCCCGAAATTAGAAAGTTCATTCTGAGCTTTCCAGCTTTTGTGCAGTCACACTCTTGATACTTAAATCCTCTTTCTAATGCTCTAAAGATAAACTCATTGCACTCCTGCCCCCATCTGCTACAGCAGCTCTTGCTCATCGTCTTCAGATCCTGAGGGTCCTTGCCGTACCTCTTCATACCATTTGTTTGTGAGGGTTTTCATCTGTATGCGCCCATGATGCAAGTCCTAGGGCAAAAGCAAACCAGAACAGTTTGCTGCTTAGCTACAACATTACTTGTGGGTTAGAGCAAAAGAGGAAGACTAGTTCCTTCGGAGACAGATAAGACATATTCCTTAGGAAATAATCCACTCCTGGTCCCTAAGCATGCAAAGCAATTCTGTTTCCTACCAGAAAATATTTATCGAGTGTTCAATCAGTAATTATTTCCACGGACGATATTTTTGATGACAGGTATTTTTACCTGTGTTTGCTAGACAGTCCTACTCTGTGGGTTTCAACAGTCCTAATGCTGTCTGGATGGCCTGGCTTGGAACCTCACTCCTCTTCACGTGTTCCCAGGGACAGCAGGAAGCTTGTGGCCTGCTTTGGTGATTCACATACTTATTTTTCTAGCCTTTGGTTGCAATCTGGATGGCAGCCTGTGCTTTTGGCTACCAACTACGAATCAGATGCTTAACTCTGGTTTCTTGATTCCTTTTTGGTTTTGCAAAAAATGCCTTTAGCTTTTGTGGGAAAGTGCTGAAAGCATTCTTTTGAAAAGAAAGGTACAAAACAAGAGGAAAAATAGTATGTTTGTGCAGGCTAGGAAGATGGAATGTGCATACTTTACACAAGATGGTCAACTCTACAGCAAAAATGCTTAATTCTATGGCAAATTGGAAAAACAGTGAATTATACAGCCAAAGAGCCTCAGGTTTCTGAGGCGTGGAGTGAAAATGGCATAGTATTTACACCTCTCTCAGCCATTCAGTGTTAAGTTACATGTTCAGTCAGGTGTCATTTTGCATTTACAGCTTCAAAGTTTTGGCCTCTCGGTGAAGAAGTCTTAAAAGTGAAGGTTGCAATTCTGGTGCAGATTTCCAAGATAAACTGCCATCTGCAGAAAAATCACAGCTCCAGAATTCACAGGTGCATGTACAGTAAAAGGCAGTAACTTTGTGTGATAGCACTTTAAAAACTGCATAAGTGGCACCAGCTTCTTCTAGCAACAGTAGTAACTAGTAACTCCTGATACTCTTCATGATACTCTACAAGATTAAAGGCGAGTTCAATAAATCTATACACCTTTTAAAGTTTAATTGTGGTAGCCCTGAGAGATGCTCATTTAATCCAACCTGCAATTTTACAATGCAGCTTTTCATTACAGCTGCTCTACATATGCACAACTAATATATCAGGAACAGCGAGCCATCTAATGTAAAAGCTGCATGGCTATGCTATGAGCCTTGAAAGGTACACAGTTGAAATGACAACCAACTCTACCACAGTTTCTTTTCTTCAGGAAAACAAGAAAGACTTACTTCTTGTGTCAGTCTTCTGGTGAAGAAAGGATTCAAATACCTGGCATCAAACCACATAAACCCTTTGAGGTCCTGGCGTTTTATGTACTGGGCTTCATATTCCTCCTCGGTGAGTTCTGATAAATGTTCAGATTCTATGGTATTTCCCTAGAAAGATCACAAATATTGGAATAACTTGAAAAATATGGCAGCCATCCCTCCAGCTTGCTTCAGCCCCCTGCTCTATGCTCTCCTTTCTCACTACCAATTCCCGTGCTGGAACAAAATGGAAAGTATCACCCCAGCCTACCATGGCTTATGGCTGTATGAATCTGTCCAGTTGTTGATTCCCAGAGCCACTTAGCTTCCCTTTTCATGCTGAAATGTAAAAGGCTTCAAATGTTCCATATTTTGTATTGTTAGTATTGCTGAGAACAGGTAGCTAATGTGCATGTTTTCTCTTGTGAGCTGGACAATGATTTTATCCAGCAAGCAACACTAATGTCATTGTCTCACTAAAAACAAGCCCTGTATCAGTACACACCCTATCCCTGTGCTCTTCCTATACACACCTCCCTGTGTGGACAGAGTAAGATAAATCTGGAGACTGCAAGGTTTTTGAAACCTCACGCCAAGAGGAGCTGTTTTTCAGATCCTACAGAACAACACCCTGCATGTATTGTTTGATGGTTTGGAGAAAAACAGGCAAATGCTCTGGGATACTTTATGTACTCCAGCCTTTTGCACATGAGGCTTCAGACTGGCTCTTAGTTTTATTCAGTACTCTTGCTTAGCCAGAAATTGCTTTAAAATAAAACCCAGTCAGAGAGGTGCTGTTGTTACCACCTTCTCATGGCCTTTGCTTTGACTTTTTCAAAGTAATTCCCATCTGCCTTTTATGATTAATTCATGACTCACACTGTACTAGCTACTTTCCCTCTGCATATGACTCAATCCTGTATCATCTGCTTTATGCTTTTGCAGGGGTTACTTTAATTTGTATGGATCAATGTATAATTAGATTGAGTTAAGAGACCATTTCTCCTCCCTTTTATCCAAACAGTTATTTTGTGTAAACACTAACCAAGCTCTGTCTTTGGGATATTTAAAAATTATATCGCTTGGCTTTTTCCTACCACCTTGGCTTTTTTCATTGCTTTCATTTTACTTCTTAGTAAAAAATAATGTACTAGTCTTGAAAAATGTAAAAATTTAAAAAAAAATTAAAAAAATCAGTGATCCTCTGAATAGAAAACCTCAACAAACCATCTTCTCTGTCTTGCTAAGATTAATGTCCTTCTTATTCCTCTTGCGTGCTTTGGAGTCCTCAATGTCAATCAGTCTGATGAGGGGCATGGTTCCTCCTCCCAGCAGCAAAATTGTGAACAGTACTATGATAATTGTTGTCGTCCCAATGAGCTGCCGCTTCTCTATTGGTTCCAAGCCCAAATGGAGGCTGAGGGCATAGGGGATTGCACCACGTAAACCTTAGCAGAGAGAACAGTAAATCAATGAAGAGTGAATCAATAGCTACATTTGGTCTTCAGTACCCCAATAACTCAACAGGATTTCTCCATCTTTAAAGATTTCTACAACCCTATACCATGTCCATTTATCTATCATTTGGTTACCATCCTAAAATGACTCGGAGGCTCTTCAGATACTGTTGTTCAAACTGCAAAGTTGCTAGACCTAGAAAGAAAAGTAGACTCTTTGCAGAAAAGCTTTTGTGAGGCTCATTACTGCATAGTCCTCTAGCACGAAGGGGAAAGAGAGCATATCTATTGTACTTGGGTTTGAGAACAGTGCAAATGTTCAGTTGAGTTTTGCTCCACAGATGGGAAACCAGTTCTTCTCAGAGTGGCCCACACAATGAAAAAGATAAAACATTTTTTCCAGTTCTCTGTACTTTGAGCTTTAACTTACCACTAAACCACATGATAAACATCATTTTGGGGGTGATTTTATGATCACGGAAAAAGTTGAGTAGGTAGGAAAGTGGGAAAATATTCACTGCTCTACCGAACAGAACAAGTACCTGAAAAACAGAAATAAAAGCAAAAGACCATTTGATGTGTTACATTCACGCCGGCCCCAGCTGCATCTGGTTTGTACAGGGTAAGGTGAATATGCTCTTTCACTCTCAAGTCTTGCAAGTTAGGTGGGCTACTAAACTAACAAAGAAATTTCTCTGCATAGGTCAATGTGGAATTCAACTTTGTAAACATTTTGTCAGCTTAACTGAAACTAAACCAGACTTGTCACTGAGAGAGACCAGACACTACTTTACTTATAATAAATAAATGAAACCCAAGAGGCGTTCCAGGGAGACCAAGAATTACTTTGGGTAAAAGTTCTCTTCAGTTCAGCTCCTTTAATCATTCCCTTGGTGCAGCAGCTAAGAGGCAATAAGATATTTCTATTGTCTCCCCATGGACCAGTTCCTCAGAGAAAGAGGCCAGAAGCCAAACAAATAGCGTGTAATCTGGTTCCTCAAAACTTCCCTGGGTATGGTTATAAAATGTACAACACACTGAAGCAACATTTTGAGAGAGAAAAAAAAAGTACTATTAATTTAATGGCACACAATTATAAATGCAGTGAAAACTTTAACTCAGAAAAGAAATGTTTTTCACAATGACATTGCTTTTAGGCTCCACCACAAACAGACCTTGATAAGGTAAATATCCTAGGATTAGTCAGCAGGGTCGTTGAAGGGCTGTACTGTTTTCCTTTATGAATCACCCCAAAATTACGCAATTTCATTACACCCGTGAGAGAAATGCTACATAGAAGAAAGTGTCACATCTTAGATATACATTAGATAAGGAAGTGGGGTGTAATGCAGTGAGAGCAGTTCCCCATGCTGATATCACTATGTGTAAATTGTAGGTAACAATTCTTCCCTTGAACCATGGACTAAAATGTGCTAGTATGCGACTGGGAATGGATTCACATTTCTCTCTTTTGACTCTACAAAAGAACATACTTTTCATGTCTATATTAAACAACTAAAATAGCAACAGATGTAGGTAACTCCCATGTGAAACATAATTCAAAGTGCACTACATAAAGCTACGCTGAAATACAGAATAAAAGAAAAATAACTAAGAATGGAGTCAAAGAATTAATATACATTGGAGATGGTTTGAGTAACTTCTTCTTCCGAAGAAGGTGAGCTCAGAGTGTAGATGTGATGTATGGACTAAGTTGCTTTATGTAAACAAACTGCAATGATATATGAGAGAGAAAGACTGAAAAGCTGTAGTCCTGGAGAGATGAAATGGAGCAGAGGTCGATACTAGTTTGCACTGTAGTTTCTACAAACTGCCATTCACAAATTGTTCATATGGAGCTAAAGATATGTAAAAGCTCAGCATTATTTTCTGGTAAAATAACTTCTGGAATAAAGTGGCATGTATAAAAATCTCAACATTTATTTTAATAAATCTAATAGAGTCAAAACAAGCAAGGTTCTCTTCCTTGTTTTTAATAATCTTATACAGAAGGGCTTCAAAATAACAGCAAACTGGAATTCCTTAAAGAAGACTGATGTATTTGCACACCGAAGTGCTGAGAACAAGAAGAATAATTTCATGCTATTAGTGAGAGTTAACTTTGTGCAATATATAAAAATATAAAACTATTTTCATTAAAAAAACCATAAAACAAGTATTCTAAAATATTTTAACCGTAGGTGTTTCCCCCCTCCCCAATACCAAAAATGCATCTAAACAAGTATGGAAGAAAGTAAATACCTACTATGCACCAGATGACAAAGGACATTTCAAACTTGTGAGGAAAACTAAAAATTGACAGGCCAAGAAATGCAAAAACACAGGTTTCTGAAAAAGAGAAATCGCATCTTAAATAAACAATTCTATAAATTTTTTTCTCCTCCTATTATAAGTTACTACATGCAGTACATAAAACAATATTTCCTGACTTTTGAATGCACAAAATAGGCACAAATGCCATTATGTAGAAGCCCAGATTCTTCCACTCTTGCTGTCAGTGGACAGCACCTTGGTCTGTGTATGTAGGCTTTTGTCAGCTGTAAATTTCTAAGTGGTATGAACAAAGCTAGCAAAACCTTGTTCTAAAGACTGAGGAATTTTTTACTTGAAGAATATAGGACAAGCTGCAGAACACAAGCTACAGGAGCAACTACTAATGACTTCTGTAGCTTTGAATCATTCTATATAAAACTGAAATGTAAGACACAATCTCTATATGGCAAGTTGAACACTATTACAAAGTATTCATTAAATTCTTATACATGGCAGCAGCTCATGACTTTCTTTGTAATAAAATACTGTACTGTATGATCTAACAACCTTGTATATGCTAATAACCTCTAGCAGTGATGTTTGCAAATCTGAAATAGTACCACCACTGCACAATGACTACAGTAATGCAAATATTTTATTTCCACAGCACCAACCCATTACCATCAGAGAACTGCAGAGTCAAGATGTTTCGTCAGTTCATTGCTGTCCTAGCAAGGTAGGTTCCTTATCATTAAGGTAGTTAAAAACAGGATGGTTTTGGACAGACAGTAGCAATACATGAGTTACTGCAGCATAAGACACTGTTTGGTCATACTTTGGGTACTAGCTACTTACATTTGCATGTTCAAAACCTGCTGCAAACGTGTACAAAATTGCACAATATCTTCAATAACTCCTTTACAGTGACTTGAATGAATGTGTGCTTTTTCAGCATTTGTAATAGGTTAAGACCAAACCCTGATGAGCTACTGGTGCTCAGGTAGTGAGTGGTTAAGTTTAGTTTGCAGCAAGGCCACGCCCTGACCATGCTCCAAATGCATCTTCCTGCAAAAAATACGGAACACATTCATGCCATCCGCTAAAAACCAGGGATGTAGTTATAATACAGAAGCATGTAATTTCTTCAAAAGTTTGGGTTGTAAAGGAAATGGAAAGGCTATGGGACACTGAGCTGCTTGCACCACTAATTCCAAAAACTTCTCAATTTGTGAAGCTATTGTTTTTGCTAGCACTAGCTTTTTATACCCAAAACCATTTTAAAAAATACTGCTAAAAATCCATCTCCTAAAACTAAAAATAGACCAGAGGAATGTAGGAGTCAGAGATCTCTATTCAGTTATCAGTCTTGTGGCAAACCTTAGAAGGAGCCTGCAGGATGGGGGAGAGAGACTTACTATATGTTTTATCCAGTATGGCAGGAAAGGTGACTTTTGACTGCCTTCCAGCCTCCACTGTTAGGAATTCTTCTCTTAAAGACACGTACCACTGACACACAAATGGCTAGAAGAAAATTTGCACCTCTGCTGTTGCCATCAGAATCACCATTTCAGGCAAATAAAATTTTAAAATATTAATATTAGATATTAATAGTAAGTAGCACCTACCACACATGAAAGCAACAGTTCTCAGTGTCTGCTGCATTAAAATCTGTGTAACTGGAGACAAGTTATGGTGTGTATAGTGAGACATCACGATGCCAGAGAAGAGGATTGCCATGATACCTGTAGATAAAAACGTGGCAGTCAACAGAAGAGTATCTTGCACTCTGCAAATATTTGTGTTGATAGCCCTTACTAATGCAAAAGCTTATGAAACAGCCAATGTTGGTTATCTAATGCAATGGCACTGTAATTCTGTAATATTTTATTATAATTTTATATTAATAAGCAATAAAAATTAGAAATAGGCCATGTGCTGAGACCCTCCAGAATAATCTTCTCACAAGGCAAAACTTGCTTTTACAGCAATACAAATATTTTAGCATATCAGACTGCTTGCTCAGCTTTCTAATTTCATTCTCATACATCTGTGTTGGCCTATACGCACGTACAGAGTAGTTCTGGATGCAAGTGGGCAGAATGGAATGTTTGCGTTAGGATTATACATTTTGATTGTGTCACTACCATGATTATAGGCCACATCTTCATACGTATAAAAAATACAACTCCACTGACATCAGTGAAGGTATGCTGATATACATGGCTACAGATCCACTCCAAAATATTCACATTAGCTCACATGTCCATTTTCAGAAAGTCTGATTTCATACCTGCAGTTCATTTACAAGAAATCTAGTCCTGCTACTACTCCTCATAAACTTGTAACATTCTTATATAGCCCAAGTTGTAGAGCAAATATGTCTTTTAATGAACTTAAAACTTAAAAAACAACCCAAGAAAAAATTAAAAAAAAAGAACCAAGTAGATTTCCTAGCTATTTGAATTATACTAACTGTTGCATCCCTTCCCACTTTCCTTTGAGAAATGAGACAGGAACCTGATTGACTTAAAAAACCCACTTAAATCATCAAAAGTCAGAGACATTGGGCATTCAGCAGAACTGGACTCTGTCTTTGTACCTGATTCTACAGAATGATGGAAGTTCACCTGTAGCCTCTTCTTGTGGCCTTCAGCAAAACTTTTACCAAGTATTCAGAGACATACACAACACTCAGTGGTCTCAGCTGATATCCCCAATGGCACTGAAGGACAGGTAGAAAAACGGCTACAGGGTAGTAGGCTGGACATTATCTAAATTAGCTGATGGGGCTGAGATCTACAGCATGCAGCTGAAATTTTAACTCTGCGTTAGGCAGAGGTAACCAGGGAGAATACTAGCATTTACGTTGGATAATTAATGCTTATGAAAACTGCAATTATCTTTTCTATACTTTTATAACATGAAGTAGAAAGTAAGTGTTTCTTTAAAGTAAGTCCAAGTTAGAAGTAAGAGCACAGTTTAAATGAGAAAACACATAAAAAACCAGAGCCCGTCTTAGACACAAATAATATCTACTCCCTAAATTTATCAAAGAAACTTGAACATACTCATTTTGCTACTCACCTGAGAGTGAGATACCTTCTGCAAGTCCGTAAGGAAGGTAAGCAAAGATAATCATCATCCCAAACTCTAGGGAGGGTGTCTTCCTTAAATCAATGTGCTTTAGCATGTACACATGAAAATGTTATGGAAAAAGTAAGTAAAAAAACAATTCTAAGAAAAAATTAAATCTGTGTCGTTCCATTACAAAACAGTAATTATGCTTAATGTATTTATCTACTGAATAGCTAATAAATTCTACACATTGGCCTTTGACTCAAGTATGGAAAGATTAATCATTTCTTATAAGGAGTGTTTCTTATAGAAGCTACTGCTGGTAGAAGTCTATCAGAATGGACAGACCTAGAGACAGAAAAGATCTGCTACTGATGTACCTATACAATACTGATAACAACATGCCAAATGGTTTGTTTGGTTCTAGAAGGTCCAGTTTAATCTCTGTTCCAAAACTACTGCAGAACCACAGAGAATCATTAAATAGTAAAGGCTTTTCTAAAAATAGTGGAGTGCTATGAAACAGCAAATTAAAAGTAAAATAGCTCTCATTTATGTTTTAACAAAAATAATGTCCTTTTGATATTCAAGATATTTAAAACTTCACATTTGTAGTCATAAACGTGGACATTTGTCAAGGGCCACAAGTTCTGCTTTGAATCTCATGCACAGTTCTGCAGGACAGCTGCCAAGTACAAGTAGATTTTGCCTCAGACATCATTATTTGCCACACTAAACATGCAAGCAATCTTCTCTGTTCAGTCACTATACTTCTAGTTACTCTCAAATGGTATGACAGATTTGCAGTAATATTAACAGTGAGGAACATACCTACAATCACATCCTTGCCTTAACACTTAAAATGCTCCACCTACCACCTATGTTAAAATTCAGAGGATTAGATGCTTGTGACATGGAAGTTCACATTCCTCTTGGGTCATGAACCAGCAACAACCTTCAACTATATTTATCTGCTGGCAACTAGTAAGAGATGTCCTTTGCTGCATTGAAATTTCGCATGCTTAGGGTAAATTTAATGTTTTGAGGCACAAATAACTGCAATAGGGCAAATAGGCCGCTCTTCTCTTTCTCTTAGTATCATTTAGATATCAGTGAAAGAAGTGTTGAACATCCGTCTCCCTCTTTTATTGTGATGTATGGAATAATTTAAAAGTTTGTGGAATCAGGCTAATGAACCAAGAGAGGAAATATGTCTATATTTAATCAAACATTCTGTTCTTGTTATTTACAAACAAGCGCTTAACAGTATGTCCCAGATGACATGAATAACTGGTGTACAAGTCTAGCAAAAAGTTTACCTACAGTGAAGTCAGTGTTAGCATTAAACAAGCTCTGAAAATTAAGGTAGGTGTCTGGGTTACAACAAACATCCTTCCTTATCTTAGCAGAGAAGCTTCTGGGTTATTTAGCAACCAATTCACGGAAGTGGAAGAGGCAAAATAGAACTCAACATAAATCCAAATAGAACAGTATCTGAATTCAGCTGCCTGAATATGATACATAGGGACAAATGAGCTGGTCTGACTGAAAAGCCCTCGGGAAAAGCAGCTTTTTTTTTTTCTTTTTAATTAACTGTTTTATGTATGTGAAAAAGGAGCCATATGCTTGGCTCAGTGGATCAGTACTGAAATGTAATTAATATATTTTGAATTTACAAAACAATTACCATATTTTATAACACTCCAATGCACGTAATATAAGGTACTATACAGCATTTCAGACCTTAATTATGTTCATAAAAATTTGATGCAACTTTCTAATACACACCCATGCACACTAACATAAAAACCAAATGAGCATGAGAAAATCCTCAGCCAGCAAAATAATGTCTAATAAGAAATATCCCCTAAGAAACGCTGGAGAAGACGGGAAATAAAAATAATGTTAGAATGTTGAAGTTCACCTATTTATACATGTGTATCACCAAAATTAAAAAAGGATATTAATGCAGAAATAAGACCAGTAAGTGTGCCAAGTGCTGCAGAGCCAAAGAACATCTTAAGAAAGTATCCCAACGCCTGTAGAAAGGTTTGCCATCCACTTACATCTGACATATTTTCTCTTGTCAAACCTTCTGCTGTGCTAGATATAATAAAAAAATAGATAAAAAGAAACAGTTATACATTTTAAGCCTGGATCCAAAAATACCAAACGTCTTTTGAGAAAACAACAAAAAAGACTTCCATTTCTTTGTTGCTACCACTCTTAAAAGGCTTTTACTATGATATATACAACAGGAGGAATGTCAAAAGATGTTAAATCAAGTTTTAGTGTAATCCCCAAAGGGAAACCCAATTCTGCTAAAAAATCTGGAAATCCAGCATTGCTCTTGTGAAGAATCCCGAGAATGGCGTAAATAGGCTATGACAACACCCAGTATTACAAAACAAATTTCAAACTTTGAAAAGGAAAAGGAAACACATTTTGCAGTGGTAAAAACTCAGGGCATGAAAAAGAGATGGATCATGTGATCCTCAGAGAAGAACAAATGAACAGGAAGACTTCTCATCAAATATTTAGGTGTGGATGAGAGACAAGAAGGTCACTGAAGAAGAGCAAAGAAGCTCTTAGGAGGAAAGGGGAGAAATGTCTTTGAATTTCAGGAACGTACTTCACAGAATTCCATGCAAAGAAGACATGGATTGTAACTAGTGTTCCTTTTGAATGTTGTTAGCCTTCATGATCTTCCGTAAAAGAACCATGACTGTATTAAAAGCAATTAGTTCATTGAAAAATGACTTCAACTTCACTACCACCTTAGTACATCTACTCCTATACATTCATAGTCACATCTAACTGACTTCAGCAATAACATGAAAATATATCTCTATTTTTTTTAGCCCCAAAGAATTATCATGGGTAAAGGATAAGGATATTGGACATTCTTCTTTCCTGTGATAGCCCCAACATAAATATAACTATTGCATGGATATTGATGCATCCCCCTCGCAACTGAAGTCTGACTCTGGGTATAAGCCAGAATATAGCATACAGTATACAGAATCTATAGTATATGTATTCTGTATAGTATACAGAATATAATACAGGAGACGCAGCTGCATATTTGGCAAGGTAAATATTTTCGTGCAAGCCTGAAAGAACACATGTTGGTTTTCTGTTGTCAGGACGCTCAGATGGAAAGACAGCTGGTAAACATATGGATTTAGAAAGCAATCGATTATCTGGGGTCAATGAGATAAGGCACTGAGGTAGTGGTAATAAGACATCCATTTACTGGCTTTTGCCTATGCAGTTTATGTTATGGATTGCTTTTAACAGAGAAAGATCATACAAAATTCAGCTTTACACCAGAAATACGTGATTTGTTCCAAATGGACATGGAAGAATTACTGTATATCTGAATAACTAATTAACAGAAAATAATGTGGTTGCTGTTTCCAAAAAGACGTGTAGTTCAAATGCACTTACTTGGTCAAGACAATAGAGACTGCATCATTGAGAATGCTTTCTCCAAAAACCAACATGTTAAGTACAGGATCCACATTGAGGGCATTGAAAATGGCAATAGTAGCCACAGGGTCAACTGCAGATATTAAAGAGCCGAAGGCAAAACTGGGAGAACACAAAACATAAAAAAGAAAACTACATGAAAGAAAAATATGTACCTAGTAAACTTACATGAATAACTAGTAACAGAGCTGTTATGTGTTATAATTTGTACACAGTGAAAAGTTATGCTCTCTTCCCATTCATAAGAACTTGAAGTGAAAAAAGGGAAGGTTTTGTTTTTCATTCACTGATATACCAAAGAGGAAAGTTGTCCAGCTGGAAGAGATGTTCGAGAAATACCTATCTCCCAGCTAACAACAACAGTATCAATGTCTTACTCCCACTAAGTAAGAAAAAATCAAAGGAATGGGAAACCAAACAACTTTACAGACACAGCCCAAACCATGTACCATACATGCTGTCTTTTAAGAGACATCATTTTGTCTTTTAAGAGATTTGGACAAGGAAGTTATGCCCTTATCATATATATTAATAATACCAACTAATCAAAGTCTACATATTTTAACTTTCAACATTGGTTAAAATACAGAGTATCTTCCCTGTCTAGAAAAATCACTGAGCACAGAATACTGTTTGGAAATAAGGGTGTAATAAATAGGGTTTAGAAGTATTTGATCTATTTATTAGTTTCATACATCATGTTGAATCTTAGCAATCTAAACAATAACCAGAAGAGCTGTCCAGCTACAGTGCATTTCCCATGTACAGTTATCTTGAAGAATACTTCATTTCATATACTGCTCCATTTCCCCAAGAGCTTACCTGTCTGTCATGTTGAGTTTATAAATTACATCAGCCTGAAAAAATAGGTAAAACATAAAAAAAAAAAAAAAAAAAATCACAATCAACTGTGTTTTTCTGCTGGTTTTAAAAATGAAACTATTAATCAAATCCTAAGTTCATTATCATGAAAAAAATCCCAGTAGTGATGTCACCCAGTCTAACATTGCCCTCCAACAGTGATCTACTGCTACAATTCTGATCACCCAAAATCAGGGAAGATCAGATGAAACTGGAACAGATACAGGTGAGTAGAGTAACTAAAACATTCAAAGGAATGGAAATCTGACAGCCAAAGAGGAAAGTAGGGATTGTTTGGCATATCAGAATGAAGCCTGAAAGAAAAAAATAATTATCTATATCTAATCAACGGGGAAACATCAAAGCAGAGAAGTGAAAAAAAAATATTGACAGAACAACAAATAAGTTTAATACTGGAAATTAGAAGACAACTCTAGAGAATATAGGTTTTGTAACAGCCTTCCAATAGGAAGATTGAGCAAGTAAAAAAAGTAAACCTCAACTTAAGTCTTAATTGCTTTTAACATGGAGCATGCTATATCTATGGGAGCAGTTATATAACATTGCCTCTGTGCTAGCAGAGAACTGGACTTTGTGACCCAGGAATTCACTTTCACTGTGTTTGTCTGCTCTTGAAAAATGGACTTTCAAAGAGCAAGCTGGATAAACTTAAGTGCTTCAAAGCAGTTATTCTTACCTGGCCCAGGAAATAAATTCCTCCACCTACAATGAAAGCTGATATTGCAGTGCCAAATACAGAAAAGAGAGTGATGGAACCGATGTTCTGAAAAAAATTACCCTGGAACACAATAATAAAGTAAGTAAATTAGTGAAAATGATCTGAGGGAAAACTCATGTTTGGATTTGCACCTAAATTAGATTCTGATTCACAACTGGGTTTCCAATAATAAAGCTTCATTAGCTTGCTTTCAGGTACCCCAGGACATATATCCCCACCATCTGCCTAAAGAGCCTGCTCTCTTGAGGACAACAGCAAATCCCTCCGATACCCCGGACAGGATGTCAGTCTGGTACCCTAACAACAAACCAATCCTCAGGCGAACAGCTGGATATTCACCTGTACTTTGGCACATTCCCCACCTGAAAGAACTGTAAATTAATCTATCTGTTGTACACAGGGCATGTGAAAAAGGCTTGCAAGCATCCCAGTTGCTAGTCCATTTCTTAGGTTGTGATTTTGTATGAAAAAATCTTCAGTGTTGATAGCAATTCATAATAATACTATCGCGTACTGCTCCCTCCCTCTCCTGCTCAAGTAGAAAGGCAGCACACATGGAAGACCAGAAACACTTCAGCCATGACTAGCGCTGTGAGAAACGTGCATGGAAACAGACTCCCAAGAAAAGGATGAAAACCCTTGTAAACATTTTCCTCCTCTTTAGCTATGAAGTGACTCCACCATTCTCACTTCTCATTCTACTTCTTCCCATTTTGCTTCCTTCACATCAGCCTTGTACAGCTCCGATGAGGTAAGAAACCTCTCTAACCAAGGAAAACAACCTCTGCGCAGTACCTAACACCTTGCCAACATTCAGTTGACAGTAACAAGCTACATTCCCTGCATTCCGGGTTGAAGAGACTTAAATTTTGCATTCTCAATTCCCTGATGATTAATATGATGGAATTTAATGCAATTATTCTAAACTTCATGAAGATAACTAAAAGCAGCATGTGCTCCACACAAGACCTCAACATGTAAAACGAGTGTCTGGCAGGGACTCACCTTGTGCAATGAATATCCAGATTCAAATATAATAGGTGGAAGCAAAAGCAGAAAAAACATATTTGGACGAAACATTTCTTCTTCCTGCAAAACAAAAATGAAGTATAATATAATATAATATAATAATTATTGAAATAACATCAAATCTTCCAAAAGGGAATTTATTGAGAAAAAATACAAAAACATTGGAAAATGAAAATGGCATTAATCCTTCTCCCTTCTTATCACAAAATAAAAGACTGAAGAATAGTAAACTACGCCAGGGTTTTTTTATCCAGTGATAGAAATCTAGGTGTTACTTATGTTAAATTACTGTCTCCAAATAAGCTGCACAGAAAACAGGTTATTTATGGCAAAGGGAAGTCTTTCTGTTTCCACAAAAAGAAGTATTCCCATTTTATGTCACAGTCTCAAAATCTGCAAGGGCTGTCAAGGAACGGTGACTTGGCTACTGGTTTGAATGTAATCTACGTTAACTGTGACCAAATACAGTTTCATAGAAAACGCGTCACTTGACAAGAAGAAATCAGATCATCATCTTAGTATACTAAGTGAACAGGCTCAAGATATATACCACTGTTAAGAGTCTGAGGCTTGATTCTTCTTGGCAAGTGTAATTCATGCCTGTAATGTAACGGTACTATACTGATGGTTTCTTTTACCATCAGAATGATATACATGAAACCTACCATGAAATAAGATGTTCTTTTTTTGGTGACCTTACTCTCTGTCACCTTCACCTATCTCATCACTTGGCTAAAACTGCTTTATTGAGTTGTACTCGCAAACTGGCACCCTGTTTTTTTCTGCTGGAAGACTATGCAGAGAAGGCAAATTAATCATGGCTGAATGTGCCTCTCCCTCTTTAGCCTCTAGGCTCCCTCCTGGTCCCCACAGTTCTGAATACAGCAAAACTTGTCACCTTTGTAAGCAACAATTAATTTGTTTAAATCCAGGTTAAACAGCTGATTGACTGTTCTGTTAAAATACCAGCTTTCAAAAAAGTAGTACTCATCTCTTTAAAGTCTCATTCCTGTCTGTACCAGTGATAATCATCTTAAAGGATTTGGGGGACTTAGAAAATAAAACTCATCCTTTATACTGAAATGCTCTAGTCCATTATCCTGTATGCACAATTCCGCGTGTCGATGCCTAACACCACCTAGTTTCTGTCAATACAGTAACTGTGCTAGAACAAAAAACCCACACACCTGACTAATTACACTGTTTAAAAGCCTATGAAAGCAGAGCTGGACAAGGAGGCAAGAAATAATGAAAAGGAAGGACTGCATGTGTGCTGCACTGAAGCAGAGACCAGGAAAGTAAAATATGAGGACTGTAATTATCAGCCATGCTAGCCAGCAAGAATCACCAGTAAGTACAAGGTCCACTGAAGACTTAGTAAGGCATAATTGCAAGAAATTACATTATAAAGTTCTTAGGGCAGGGATATGATCCAAGATTTTCTTTGTACATGGATATAGCCTGCAGTTAAATAGGCTATTTTTTCCATATTAAACAGAAATCTTTCAGTAAATTTAAAAACATCTAAAAACATTTTATAAAGTACATAATAACTATTGATTAGAACATTACAAATCTGAAGTTATGATGGCCTATGTTAAAACCTAAGCTTTAATACAGTGAAAGTAAATTAAATAAGCAAATAATAATGTGATATCTGTGACTCTTTACCTTTGCTGATAATGTCAGCAACTGGATGCGGCATCCCCAGTGTCTCCCAAATGTGACAAATGCTCACCAGAAATAACTATGTAATTCACTAGCTATGATCAATATTTCTTGTGCTTATAGAATCAGTGCTCAAATCAGAGCACATTTTAAGCTTTGTTTTTATTTCTTACATACATGGTCCTCTTCAGATTATTCTATTTAACAGATAAGTAGCTATTTTAAAATGCTGATTTTGTGGGTGTTTAACTGACTTTCAATTTTAAGTCAAATCCAGCTGACACAAAACAGGAATACAAAAACCCACTAACTAGTGCACCACCCACCGTTTCTAGTAAGTACATATGTAAGAATGAAAGATCACACGACTCTTGAACTACGTAATTGCTTAAATGAACGTACACAGAATTAGTATAGTTAGTTGATAAAAAAAGAAGTATAATATTTAGTTAAAAAGCTACATCTGATTGAAAAATCTATGCATTTTTATGTATGTCAACTAAGGAGAAAAAAATTCTTCCTTTAAGGAAATAACTGACAAAAAATATTAAGCTGCTAGCTAGGACTAAAATTCCCTACTCAGACCAAGATTTTCACCCTCCTAATATAAATCCTGTTTAAAACTGGAAATCCAAATGCCTGTGACTTCAATCACTTCATTGATCTAAACCTAATAAACTGGTTGATCCTATGAACCAAAATAACAATGCAAATACCACGCGATTTTAAATTAAAGCAGGAATAGTGAAGACTTCATTGCTTTCATGTGGATAAACCGTAGAAGGCAAAGTAGACTTCACCTCTTGGAGACTTTTCTGCCAGGATTCCCCCTCACGACGGAAGCCTCTGTAATTCCACACATGCACAGGTAAGACCTCACAGTATCACACGCTAATTCAGGTTGGAGAGAACCTCTGGAGGTGTCTGATCCAAGCCCCTGCTTAAAGCAGGGCCAACTGAGAGCAACTTCAGCTGCTCAAGGCTTAACCCAGCCAAGTTTTTAATATCTTTGTGGATGGAGATTCCTACAATCTCTCTGGTCACATGTTCCTATGTTTGGTTACCATCACTGTTAATGTTTTCTTCCTAATATCTAAGTCTGTAAAGCACAGGACACCAGGACAAGGTCAACCTTCTGCACAGCAGCTTTGCCTGTATTTTCTTCTGGAAATAAAGCTCAAATCACCTTCCCATTGTCTCAGCCAGCACGAAAAATGCTGCTGCTTCAAGCACACTGGTTTCGGCAGTCTTTCCACAAGAAGCAATGGAGTACCCAAGAAACATGCCATGCTGAATGGATTGCTTTGTGAACTGTCTGTTCTTAGCACCGCAATTTGTTGCAGTTTTAAGTACAAGTAAATAACATGACTTTTAGCCCAGCTATTCTGAAGAAGTGCTCCTTTTTACCTCTGTGAAATCTATGTTAACATCTTCAGGTAAAACATGTGACTTTACAACCTATCAAAACACATTTTTTTCTATGAAAACACCTACAAAACAAACTCCAAAAGGAGGAAGAGGACTAAATACAGTCAAAAAGTATACAAGACAAATAACTGAATAACTATATTTTTAACTGTTAACTGATGCCAAAGATGCCCAGTACCTTCTTCTACCATATATCTAATAGGAACAGATTTGGTACCATAAAAAGGATTACTCAGGGAAAAAAATAGTGTGTAGAAAATGTTCAGCACTGGTTGTATTATTATTTAAAAACGCCAAACTTTGGCATCAAGTATAATGTACATAAGTTTTGGAAATGACATCTAAAGAAACTAATATTACAAACAGACTTATTTGAAACATTTAAGGAATGTTCTAGAATTAAAAACAAATTTCTGCAAATATACCTTCCAGTTGGCCAGCTTTTGAGCTTCTATGATTTTTATAAAAGCTCCCATAAGGATACCTAGGAGAGAATGAGATAACATTCTGAAATTTTCACAAAACACATCATTGTTTCCATTAACCGTTACCGACTCTCAGACAACAAAGTTTTACAAGTGAAAACAAGGCAAAACATAAACAGCAAGTCTCTCATTCCTAAATCACAAAAACGCAAAGTGGTTTTGGGTCTGATATATGACACTTTCCAAAATGTTACATAACTACATAGCTTCCCCACACAAAAGATTGTCACTTGGGATACCTAAATACTGAACACGCATCTTGAGAGTGCTGTGTTCATTGGTTCATAAACGTAACAGGTTTAACTACTCAAAAATGCTTCTCATCTAAGCTGCATTCAAATAAAATTATGCCTTTCTTGCTAAAGAATCAGGAAGTTATGAGTTAGATATCTGGGTGATAGCACAAAATTTTCATGTCACTTCAATGCTACTTGCAGTGTTAACACAGCTTAACCGAAACCAGCCTTCTCCACAGAAGTGAATTTTGTCTCAATGAAATCATAGCACTTAACTGGCAATGAAGTAGGCAGCAAGTTCTGATCAGGGTGGAGACACTGTCAGAACTAATTCCCAAATGAATTACACATCTTTTAAGTAATGTAGAAATACTGATTTGAGTATAAAAGAATTTTATCAAGGGTGCTGCAAACTCAATGGTTAAAGGTTATTGTGCTCCTTCCTCCTATAGATCTTCAAACAGGTAATACAGAAAACTCCAATCTAACAAGATTTCTTCTGGAAGTCATGAAGGTAATTCATGAACTGTCATTAATTGCTTTCAAGGAGTTATGAAGAATTTGTCGTTAGTCTGATTCCAGATTGGAATGTTTTATTTACAGAATGGAGACTTCATAGTCAAACACTGGGATGTAGAAGTGATATACACTGAATGAAAGGTAAAAAGTGGCTGAGAAGCTTAAAGTATGCTTTTTTGTAACTCATGTGTTTTTAATCTCTCATGATGTAGCTATCAAAAGAGTCTTACAAATAGCATCACATGGATTACTCCTGATGGATGTGTCATACACACAAAGCCATGAGGCTTAAGCCTTCTTTTATACAAAAATATGTGAAAGCATTGGTCCCAGAGGACAGAAATAATTGTTCCATGAAATGGTTTATATGGAAAGGAAGAGCAAAACATTAATGAAGGAACATCAAAGGTCTGCTATCCTTTGAAGGAGGACAGAATGCAGATACAGCTACTCCCATGCCATATAAATACAGGTCTTGGTACCAAGTCAGGCTTTCAATTCTGGAATGGAAGCTGTGTTCAGAAGCCAAGGACTAGAACATTTCTTATTTTTGCAGAGCAGCAACATTGTCTTCTACTGGTACAGGCAGTACTTGTATCACTTAACAAGAAGTTTATGTGGGGAAAAAAACAAACCACAACAACCAGAGCCTATACATCTGCAGGCACAGTTTTCAGGAAGTGCACTTCCTGAACAAACTTTCAGTATTTTATGAATTAGTACTGAGAGCTCTCACGTAAAACTATGTTTAGAGGAGATTTAAAAGAAAAGAGAATCCCTTAACTCAATTCTGCTGAAGTGGAAGGGCTCCAGCACAACTGTGAAATTGGACCCCTGTGAGTAGGCCAACCATGGCCTGTGGGCTACAAGCTGGGGATCCCTATCCTATGAGCTCAAGAGGCTTAAGTAAAAGGCCAGTCTCAATCTCTTTTTTAGAGGAAGAGCTAATCACAAACTGACCCTAACAACAGTGTCACGGACAGACAAGGTCCTTTCATGATATCAAAAGTTAAATGAACAACAATATAAATGTAAGGCAACACCAGACGTTAAGGGAAAAGGATGAGCCTGAATCATACAACTTACACCTTTTTATAATAAAAGTTACTTCTAGCTGCATATTACACACAACAGTACTACTAAACTAAGATTATGCTAGGCAAACTCATGAAAGAGAGCTGCACAAAATAATGCATTACCAAGAGGGTTTAACAGCAGCAGAATCAAACTTTGATGCTGTTTTTTAAAACCTGTCCCACACATCTTTACAAATTACTCTTCTTTTATTACTAGATTAATGAAAGCAGTTTTTGTTCAGCTGGTTCCATCTATTAAATCAGGCAGATCAGTTTTGTCAATGGGATAATTGGAAAGGTAAGTCTGTAAGAGTTAATCTAAGCCTCATTCTTTTGAAAATGTTACAGGAATTCTCTTATTACAACCAACCGTTATTTTTCCTGAAAACATGTTAAAACTCAGTAACAAATCAAAAAGAAAAACTTTTCTGGTAACTATTTTTACCAACAAAATTCCAGCAACTTTTAAGGATGAATATCAAAATCCAGCCTTAGAGAATGCACTCCTGCCCTGTCCACCAGGGGAGTAACATGCCCTAGAAATTGTAGAACAGAAGCTTCTGAGCAGCTTTGACAATGGGAGCAAAAACAGTTGTGAAAATCATACTTAACTTCTCTGCTGCCATTTTTATTACCCTTCAATAACTGCCTGAGAACATTTGCTTAATTTACAAGTCAAAATAGGACACACCTCACTTCTGGCACTGCTAGCAAAACTGGATACTTGAAACTCAAGCTGTACTCTTGCAGCTGTGTAGATCATTACCAGTAACAGAGGTTCACTGACTGGCCATTAGCTGGCAATTCCACTGATTATACAGATGCCACGTCCTGTCAACAGAGCTGACAGTAGTTTAAATATGATGGAGTCAAACTAAATAAATAAGGCTTAAGTGACACAGGACATCTGCTACTGTGTATAACACGCTTTTGACTTAGTGGAATTGCATTTGCTGGTATCATCTCATCTGGTTTGGAAGATAGACTACAGCAATGCTGTGGTTCACACCTGAAACCGAGCTGTGCACGTTTCCTATCTGGAAATACAAAAGATGCACTACTGCTCTTTCTTACCCATCTTGAATAGCAGTGACAGCCCCAGCAAGAAAACTTACCAGTTTCATGAACAAGCTTTTGTTGGGACTGACAGGAGCACAGAACATACCAGCGCAGCTAAAATCCTTGTCCTGTGGCTGAGATGCCAAGAAAAGAAACAGAAAGAGCGGAACGTCTGTGCCTCTGCTGCTCTCTGCAAAGCTCAGCAGGAGCAACGACGCAAGTTTGCCTAACACCTCAGCTCAGCACTGCCCAGTAGTCGCCTTAGGGCAGAACATAAGGAATGATAGTAAAGACAATCCAAAACTAGGCAAGCAAGAGCCAATATACTGCTGCATTTTAAATTGGAAATTATGCTTAGATTTAGTCTAGCTATTTAATAACAATAGTAACTAACCTGATTAGAAGCCAAATTAACACCTTTCACCTGGATTTTTGTGTACAAAGAGGAAGGATACTGAAGGGATAATAAAGTCCTTTTGGAACCTTTCAAGACACTGGAAGACATACCACACAAGACAACTGTCCACGGCCGCCATGTAAGAAGGGAAGGAAAGAGAAATGTGTCAATAGTGAATCAAACACTGCATCGTTTCTATGGGGATGACAAAGTAAGTCAGGATGATCTGCAGCAGCTCTCATCTTTCCATGTCACATAAACGCACAAAAGTCTGATGGATGCTGCTCCTATAAAGATGAGGTGTGCGTGCAATGCCCAGGAAATCCATGCCAGCACTATGACAGATTTTTACAGGTCTATTTGCGTTTCAGCTGCACAGAAATATCAACACTCAAATAGGGCCTTGAAAGTGAATGTCTCTTCAAGCTTCAACACTTTCTACTGTGCTAGCAATGTGATGTGGTCTGCATCAAATACAGTTATCTAAAAATTCAGGGTGTCACGCCTGCAGGAAAATATGTTTTTCTTTCTGTTAAGTAACAGCTCTAAAATATTCTCAGTCTAGCACCCAAGATGCAAGAAGATTCCTGTTTTCCAGAAAGCATAAGGTACTGACAAGCACCAGAAAGCTTATTTCCTCCCATTGAGAAACTGTGTGAAAATGCAGTAAAGAAATACGAGAGAAGGTACCAGAGAGTACAAGCAGGAAAAGCCCAAGACAAAGACAAAAATCTACCTGCTCAACAAGTATTACACTCCTCCATGCTACCTTAGAATTACAACCAAGCACCTTTGTCTTTTTGTTGTATTTTTAGAATGCCTGTCAGTGAAAGTGTCACCCATAATAGAAGCAAAAATACCACATATTCTTGTAAACAAGTTACAGAGACAGCTGAAAAACTGTTGCTAGTATTAGTTAGACCAGGCTCTTTAAACATTATACTAGACGATACGTAGAGAAAATAATAAATGTATTTGGCCTGATTTCCTCCTCATTTACACATTTGGAAGTCAGGAGCAACGGCACACAAATAAATGAAATTATCCTAACATAAAACTACAGGCTTAGGAATACTCCAAATTTAATTCAAATTAAGTAGGTACTTGATCTTCATTAAGAGTGGCATTCC